AAGCATGTATGGTCTGGTATAGGTTCTATTTTTTTGGAACAAGGGACTTGCATTGATTAGAAATAAATAATAAGCACATTGGAAGCACAGTGTAAATGGAGCCTGATCTTTCCTTCATGCTGTAGCTCGTAGGAAGCAGAAGTGGTCTGTGGATCCACGAAACAGTGCCTGGAGCAAAGATGAATCTAAATTTGGCCAGAAGATGCTGGAGAAGATGGGCTGGTCCAAAGGAAAGGTATGACTTACAGGAGGGTTCTCTAGCAGAAAGGTTGTCTCTAGATTGTTCCTGAACTAAAAAATTCAGTTTAAAAGAGAGAGACTTGAGTGGAAGACTTGAAGATAACTCTTAGTCCCACTGTTTAGAAAGCCACATTCTTTCTGTATAATATTTTTTCTTGAAGTCTGCTGAGAACACAGAGAAAACTTGAGCAATAGGAAACCTTCATAGCTTTTTTTTTTTGCACAGATACTCACTAATTTGTGGCTTTCTATCCCTGCTCACCCCAAACTAGATAGATGTCCCCCAGTAAAGGCAGGAGCAGGGACATAAAACCATGTGGGTATTAGAGAAGACCTCAGATTGCCTTGTTTTCTCCCTGACCTTTTATATTTTTCAAAACATCCCCAGGATCTGCTTTAATCTCCACCTATTTTTAAAGGGGACTTCTGATGTGTTCCCTGAATGGCTGAGATGTCCAATGTGAGCTCAGTTCCTTTCTAGCTCTGGCCTCTACCTGTGGGACGTAGGGGAGAGGTGGCTGCCTTTGGTGCTAAGAATAACTCTCCAGGTCAACGCAGACCTCTCAGCCCTCCCTTAAAAGCAGTTTAACTTCCAGAAAAGGATCTCAGCAAAGCTGGGAAGTTCATCAAATCTTACATCAGTAGTGAAATGCATGAAGAAAATCCACAATTTATCTTTACCTCTTCTCCTCCATCTCCTCTCCCTGCCTCCTTTAAAATGAATAAAATTAGGGGTGTTTTCAGCTCTGTCACTGTGAGCTTTAATGTATTGGCCAAAATAAGCCTGCCCTTGGCTTTCTCATTGTAGCCCACTGTTGCCAGAAAACTGGCTTATATTTAGTATATATAAATCTCCCTGCCTTTAATTTCAGAAGCAACCTGATTCAAAGGCTGCTCAAATCAAGGAACTGGCCTTGGTTTCACTAGGCTTTAGGCCAGACTGTTAAAGCGTGGGGCTGAGATATCTCTCGCTATGTAAATCATAGAATCACAGAATGCTGAAGGTTGGAAGGGACCTCTAGAGATCATCTAGTCCAACCCCCCTGCACACGCAGGGTCACCTAGAGCACGTGGCACAGGACTGCGTCCAAGCGGGTTTGAAGATCTCCAGAGAAGGAGACTCCACAACCTCTCTGGGCAGCCTGTTCCAGTGCTCTGGCACCCTCACTGGCAAGAAATTTTTCCTTAAGTTCCTGTGAAACTTTTCGTGCTTCAGTTTGTGGCCATTTCCTCTAGTTCTGTTGGTGGCCACCCCATCCTCCTCACTGCCTCCCTTGAGGTACTTCTAGACACTGCTCAGGTCCCCTCTCAGCCTTCTCTTCTCCAGCTGAACAGGCCCAGCT